TCGTGATGGACTCGAGGCCACGTGCACCGCCACCGCCACCAACACAACCCGAATGGTGAAGGTAGAAGTGGGGTGCATGGAAAGACCAGTACCGCTCTTGATCTCCCTGCATTGCACTCTGCTGACAACACAGAGCCTGTAGCTGCCTATAAGCAGGCGTCCATGCGCGTACCTGCTGAGCTTCCGAGATCCGACGAGATCGGACGCATTACTGGTGCTTTGGTAATATAACTGCGTGATACTATACTCGTGCACAACGGAAATCCTATTAAATCCGATATGATGTAAGGGGTCTCTCTGAGTGGCATCCTATTCTCCGCGTCCATCCGCGGATTTCACTCATCCTCAAATGAGTACCCAGTGCGGTGTGTAAACATCGCCACTGGGGAGACGAAGGCGGCCGGGCGTGGCGTTGGCCACCTTTCCCATAGTATGCTGTGCTGGCCTTCATAGGTGCTGGCTAACAGCACTTGCCCCTACAGTCTGTTAAGGCTACAGCAAGGCGTGGTGTTGGCCACCCACCACCTTCAGAGAGGTGCCCGCTAACACACAATTCATAATTCCGCAAAAATTATAAATTATTGATTCGCCTTCACTTCCTCTTATCCGCACCAGTGCTGCGAGGGACGATGGCAAGAATGTGTTGACTCATGGCTCGGACCCGAGAAAGAAAGTCATCATCACCAGTCACGATCTGTCCACTGCTGGGCGAAGGCCTCCCCCACGCCGTCGACATCCGGCACGGTGGCACGACGCAGCGTTCCCGTGATTTCATCGTTCCATCTCCCCTCGGTTAAGACGCCCTCTCTCAGCCGTGTGCCCGTCGTTTGGCTGCCAATCCCCCGTTAGTCTCGGCCATCACGATCATTTCTACGAGGCCCGAAAGTGTCCTGCCCAACCATGCCCGTCTCGTAGATCGCCTCCAATGCGACGTAGCTAACCCGCGTTTGCTCCCGAATTGCTTTCCGTTTGTTGTTGTTGTTGTTGCGTAATTCCGAGCGTGCGGCTCTTGGCGCATTTTCATGTTTTATATTTGTTCCAATGTGAATCCGTCAGCCGTGGGAGGACGTCGCGCGAGGATTAGGCGCTGCAGTTGCGCCGTGGCTTGCTTTGGGGTGCGTGTATAATTAATCGGCTTAGCAGTTAAGTCGATTTTGCCTGCAGATATTGTTTGTTTTACTTCATTTACCCAGGAACATCCCCACTGCTTCTCCAGGACTCAGGCGCGTACCTGACGGACCCACACACGCTCACACATACAAAGACAAAGATCCCCCATATAGCTTTAATATACTGTAAGGGGCAAGTGCTGTCAGCGAGCACCTATGAAGGCCGGAACGGTACACGAGGGGGTGGGTGGCCAGCACCACGCCCGACCGCCTTTGTCTCCCTAGTGGCAATGTTTATACACCGCACCACATACGCACCCCCACACGCACACACACGTGCGTGCGAGCGTTTGGAAGGAATTACTTTGAGACACGCCCGTGCGTTTGCCGTCGAGCTGATATTCGTCTAATTTTATTACTTTACCTTTGTTTGTATAATCATTGTATGTATAAAAAAATGTCTCGATGAAGGAACTCATCCCTTTTGAAACAAAATCCCGTGGGAGAGGTGCGGGGCGGAGCGGAGCGGGAGCGGTGGCGCAGCGGTTAGTGCACTGCGCGATGATCAACCTCGGGGGGTCCGGGTTTGCCACTTCACCAACCCGCAATGATCCAGCGGTGGTGAAGTATGGTCAAACAACTGCCCACAACCGATCCAGGGTGGGCAGGTCTTCATCCAGCAGTGGATGCGCTTAATATATATAGTACTTTAAATATGTTGATGCTGTACAGGTAAATGCGCAGCCCCTGCAAGTGCTCGCTCACAACAACTGCTGGCCAAAAGGGCCTCCGCTGGAGGGAGCTCTAGAGCGCGCCACCTTTTTGGCCTACTCTTCCATCGCTGGCCAGATTTCTTGGAGGAGGTTTAAAGTTATTGTTCTCTCCCCCAACCCCACCGCACCTCCGATTCGCACGGTCGGCTACGTACGGTGCAAAGAAGAAGTTTCGACATACGTACGTACGAAAAAACGAACGTTGCGATCCCCACCGCACACGCGCGACCCTACCGATCGACGTTTCAGAAACGTGCCTCGCTGTTGTCGGCCGCCGCGCCGTGAGATCGAATCGAACCGGCGAACCGGCGGCCTCGTGGATCGCAGGTTCCATTGTCACGAATCGGTCGTGAAAAGTCTTCAGCCAAAAGCAGGCGAACGCGATGAGCGGCGGTGCAGCAGTTAGCGCGCTGCGCTACGAAACCCGGTGACCCGAGTTCCATTCCCAATTCACGGTCAACACCGGTGACGATTATGTGAACCGGTCGTGTGCCTCCCCTGTAGGTCGACTCAGCCTAAAATGAGTACCTCTTGCGATGTGTTAACATCGACACTAGGGAGACAAAGGCGGCCTGGCGTGGTGCTGGCCACCCACCCCCTCGTGTGCCGTGCCAGTCTTCATAGGTGCTCGCTAACCGCACTTGCCCTGAAAGTCTGTTCAAGGATCTTTGTCTTGTTTGTCTGTGCGCAGTTGTGGCGCTGCGGTTAGCACACAGCGAACCCGGCCGGCAAACCCGAGTTCGATTTTTGCTCACGGTCACCAACACCCGGTGACGATTCTCTGAACCGGTCCCGGGACTCCCCTCGGTCGACCCAGCCTCAAATGAGCACCTGGTGCGGTGCGTGAACGTCGCCACTAGGGAGACGGGCTGGTGCTAGCCACCCACGCCCTCTTTGTGCCGTGCCAGCGTGTGGGTGGTTCATGCCCACGTGCGTGTCTCTGTGTGTGTGTTCGTGGCGTATAGGTGCTCGCTAACAGCACTTGCCCCAGAAGTCTGTTAAGGCTATACAGGGGGATTTGTCTTTGCACAGCGGATCTCGCCATGAGGCGCCACGTGCCGAGCCCGAGGTTCACAGCCGCGAGGCACGAGCCACGCGGAGACAGCTGGGGGATTGTTGTCCCCCGTGTGTGTGTCAGCGTGTGGATGTGTGTGCGTGTCTTTGTGTGCACGTGTGTGTCAGCGTGTGGATGTGTATGTGTCATTGTGTATATGTGTGTGTGTCATTGTGTGCACGTGTGTGTCAGCGTGTGGATGTGTGTGTGTGGATGTGTGTGTCATTGTGTGCACGTGTGTGTCAGCGTGTGGATGTGTGTGTTAGCGTGTGGATGTGTGTGTGTGTGGATGTGTGTCAGTGTGTGGATGTGTGTGTGTGTGTGGATGTGTGTGTCATTGTGTGCACGTGTGTGTCAGCGTGTGGATGTGTGTGTTAGCGTGTGGATGTGTGTGTGTGTGGATGTGTGTCAGTGTGTGGATGTGTGTCAGCGTGTGGATGTGCGTGTCAGTGTGTGGATGTGCGTGTCAGCGTGTGGATGCGCGTGTCAGTGTGTGCACGTGTGTGTAAGTGTGTGCACGTGTGTGTCAGTGTGTGGATGTGGGTGTCAGTGTGTGGATCTCTTTTGTCAGTTGGAGCTGCAGTGTAATGGTAAGCGCGCGGCGCTAAGAAGCCGGCAACCAAAGTTGGGTGGGAATGCAGTGAGAATAGAGAGAGGGGAACAATGAGTGTGGTGGTGGTGGTGTAGTGAGGAGGGAGAGGAGAACAGTTCGTGTGGTGATGGTTGGTGCTGGTGGTGAAAGACGAGGCTGAGCACGTTGCCCCACATTGTGCAGATGTCTTGTGAATTTGTCCACTCGCAGCTGGCTTTGGCTGCGAGTCAAGTCTACCGGGCCCGGAGTAAGAGGAGTTGATGACTCAAGTCTGATTTAAGATGCTGCCTCAGATTCACCACGATGCCAATGCTTTGGGTGATGATTATGATGATGTTGATGATGTTGATGTTATCTTCGTCATTGTCACGGTGGCTTTTTTGCTTAGTGTACTGCAGCTTTGAACCCGGCTACCTGAGTTCGAATCCCGGTCTAACAGCCACCACGAACATCGGGTGCGCTTATTGGAGGCCTTCATCCATCAGTTGATTAGCCCATGCCTGATAAGGATTAATTTATCACCATAACTGCTGTTGACCGCTGATCGTTGTAGTTACGATTACGTATCATCGCGCTGATCAACTGTACTGTGAGCCGTCGTTAATCGACTGAATTTATAACTAATAACACTCATCGTTGAGCGTGCATTCGTCATCCTCATCACAATCAACCTCGAAGTCAGTGGTTCTTAATCTGGGAGCACGCACCTGCTGGGCGCGCGAGATGCCCCTTCTTGAGGTGCCAGACGTGGCCAGATCTTTCTTTAGAAGGAAACACAAATTAAGCACTGCACGTGAGTACGATTACTTTGTTTAAATCACACACAATGCATTTATTAACATTGTTAAAATTTGTAACGATTGAGAATCAAAGGGGTGCAAGGTTGCAGTGAAGGTTAAGAAGCACTGTTCTCGAGTCTTCATAAAAATATCACAATCGCATTGCCAGCACTCTCCTCGCAGTTCACAGCGACATCTTAACGTTGTGCGAAATATTCCCCACCAATACTCTTAGTTCTTTCGGTAAAGTCACGTAGGTAAAAAATGAAATAAAAATTTATAAAAATAAAACAATAAAATCACGACGTTTCGGAGGCAACACAAGTCTCCGTCCTACGTGACTTTACCGAAAGAACTAAGAGTATGAATCCTTGCAGTCACGAAAGCTTCAAATCTAGAATTCCCCATCAATGTTCACGGTGTTCGCTCGCAGCGACGCAACTTGGCACGAAAAAGTTTCGCTCGTCTGGGCATCGTTACATGCACGCTGTTGGCCCTGAGGTGGAGCGCGTTAAACACACGGGGCCTAAACAGGGGCGGATTAAGATTTCGTAGGTCCCCTGGGTTACAGGTACAGCGAGGCACCCCCAGTAATCTTCTCAAAAGGAAAAAACAAAGTTGAAGAAAAATTAAATGTAGTTTTTGCAAGGCTAACGACAAATGAAATTCAGCATTCGCAAGTTAAATAACTTTTCACTTAAATCTCTGGAAGTCATCCAGCTGGCGGAGGCCCGTGAGCTGCAGCCCCAAAAGCCCCCGTGCCTTAATCCGGCCCTGGGCCTGAAATCCAAAAGCCTCTACCCAGTCGGCACATCGACACCCAGTGTGCACGCATGCACGCATGCACGTATACACACAGACAACAACAACAACAGCAATCCCCCGTACAGCCTTTAACAGACTTTTGGGGCGAGTGCTGTTCGCGAGTAGCAACCTATCAAGATCGGCACCGTGGCACACGAGACGAGGGCAGCCTCACGCCCGGCCGCCTTTGTCTCCCCCGAGTAGCGACGTTTTACTATCAACCGCACCAGGCACCCCCAGTTGAGGCTGAGTCGACCCACAAACCCGGTTCAGAATCACTCGTCTCCGATGTTTGGGGCCGTGAGCGAAAATCTCACGCCACCGCTGCCCCATACGCGCGCGGAGAGAGACACGCGAACGGACGAACTGACGGACAGACGTGGGACACCATCTCAACGGAAATCAATCGGGACCTGGCTTCGAGACAAGGCGAGGTGGGGGGGGAAGAGAAGCTGACCTATCTGAGCTGTCTCCAAAAGTTTAGGGCGAGACTTCAAAACGCCGGCGCTTTGTTGATGCGAGCGAGGGTGGTCGCGACAGCGTGCGTTGTACAGAGGGGAGCGGCGGTGGGGCGCGGGGCGATCGTTTAGGTGGGATAGAATCAGCGGTCCCCAACCTTTTTGGCACCAGGGACTGCTTTCGTGGAAGACAATTGTTTCACGGATGGGGGGGAAGGGGGGGTTTCATCATTGGGTCTTTCCCCCTTTTCACAGACGCTCTCCAGCGGCGTTTGTTTTTTTACTCATGTTGGCTACTAGGGGTAAGCAGCTTGTGGGCTTACCAACACTGTGACTGATACAAGTGCACAGTGCGGGAAAGAGGCGCGGACGGAAGTGGTAAATAAAATAACGGGCTGGCCACGCTCGGTCTCACTGCTCACCTCCTGTTGTGCGGCCCGGTTCCTAACAGGCCACGGACCGGTACCGGTCCGCGACCCGGGGGTTGGCGACCCCTGGATAGATGATCTGGGGAGGGGAGCGGTGGTGTAGCGGTTAGCGCGCTGTCCTATGAACTCAACGGACCGGGTTCGAAACCGGTGACGATTGTCTGATCCGGTTCTAGGCCTACCCTAGGTCGACTCAGCGTTAAATGTGTACTTGGTGCGGTGTGCAAACGTCGCCACTAGGGGAGACAAAAGCGGCCGTGCGTGTTGCTCGCCACACACCCCCACGTGTGCCGTGCAGGCCTTCATAGGTGCTCGCTGACAGCACTTGCCCCAACAGTCTGTTGAGTCTACAAGGGGGAGCTTGGTCCGTGTGGGTGGGGAAGAGCGGGGAGTGTGCGCAGGCTGTTCCCCTCGCCAAAGTGAAACGCGTGCGCTCGCAGTTGATGCCCCTGCGTCTCAAGCGGCTTCCCAACGCAGTCTCCCCTGCGTCTGGTTCTCTTCCCGTGTATCTCCCCCTTTGGGTGTCTCCGCGTGTCTCCCTCTGCCGCGTGCCTCTTCATTAATAAGTATCTCTCTCTCTCTGCGCGCGCGTTCCTCTCTCTCCACGTGCACCTTCACTACGCCGGTCTCTGGCTTGCGCTCCCAAATATCTGTCTCCTACACTACTGTATCCCTAGCCTGCCCCCCCCCCCCCTGCTTACCCCACCTCTCCACCTCCCCCGCAGTTCGCGCGTTAAACCACGCTGCAGGAACACGCGACAATCGATGTGCGTCCCGCCGTCGCACGATCGCGATTTGCATGCAAAGTGCAGCGAGCGGCGGGAGAATTGGATCGTTGGTCTCATTGAAGGCGGGGGCTGATGGCCGGGGGCGATCGGGAGGGGGCAGGAGGTGGGGGAGATACAATTGACTGATCCATCGGGTGCTGAAGATTAGGGTGCGTTGGGTTTGGTGGGCATAGGGGGAGCGGGGGGGGGGGGTCTGGGATTTGGGTGCAAGGTGGATTACGGATTGTGCCTCCCCCCCCTAAATCCCACTGATAACTACGACGCAGCGAGGTGGTGCGCCCCAGAACCTCCCGGCCGTGACTTGCACGGTGCGCGCGCACACGCACGGGCAACGGCAAAGATCCAACGTCGCGAGCCTGAGCAGAATGGTGGGGGTGAGCGCTGTTAGCCCACGAGGTGATTGCAATGCCTCACCTACGCGGCGGACGTCCTCTTGAATGCATCTTACTCCGTTGGCTGCCACTCCGCCCTTAGTCTCAACCACTGGACAATATCATCATCAGAGGGCGACACGGTGGCCAGATGTTATCTCCCTCGCCTGGTACGCAGGAGGTCGTGGGTTCGATACTGACCTTGACGCCTGCTGCTGTATATTTGTAGTTTGCGGTGTTTTATCTCCCCCTGGTCGCATGGATTTTTTCTCCGGGTCCTCTTGGGTTTTCCCTCCACATTTAAAATCAACATCATGCGTTTAAAGTATTTGGCTGCTATAGATTTCCACAGTATACGCCACTTTGTTGTGCTATCATTTGTGGCCGGGTTGCTTCTGAAAATAACTATATAGCTTAGCGGGCCTTACCTGGTAAAATAAAAAGATAGTTAATTTGAGGTATTTAACCCGCGTCTGTCCTCTAATCCACGTGTTCATCTCTCCGTCTCTCAAACGTAATACAGTGCACGCATCAAATCCGCGCGTGCGTAAGAATGGATGATGTGAAAAAGAGAATGTACGAATTCGTTTTTTTGTTGTTGTCGTGGATGTCCTCGAATGGCTTCCCCGTGACCTGTCTTCCAGCCACGAGCGGCCGCTATATCCCACGCAGTGTAGTGAGAGAAAACAAACTAAAACGTTTTACCGATGGAATCGATTCATTTAAATCGAATCACGACACGGCAATCTAACGGAGTCACACAGAGGACGTCAGTCACTCGAGATCGGGCATCGTGATGGGCTCCCCGTCGTGATTTTAAGTAACGGACAAATCAATGGTTGTGGGTTGTTTTTTTTTATCAGCCGAGCCAGAGACACGGCCGATCAAGGTGACTAAAGGTTGAACAAAGACACTGACCACATCACCTGCCCTCCAACAACAACAGCAACAACAACCGACATTCGCCACTAAGTGGCGGTGACGTCACCACGACGCTTGTGCCAGGCTATGTCCACCTTGAGGTCACCATCATGAAGGTCCTTCATGATCATGAGCAAAGGGCCATGGACTCCGAAAGCACCTGCCCTCCACGTCATACACCACGAACACTTTTCCTTCCGATGTTAGGAAGCCACTGGAAGCTACACAACTTTGACATCATCTCGATTGAAAACTAATTTTTTGAGAACTGCTTTTTGCGCGTTTGTTTGCGGTCCTTCCTCCCGCACACGTCCGATTAGCACGGCTGGCTACGTACGATGCGAAAGAGGTTCAACAGCCATACATACAGGACTAGCGGAGTGGTGCAGCATCGCTGTGACAGTGGTGACGGTGGTGGTGGTGGTGGTGATGCCTCCTCCCTTCGTATTTGTGAATCGAGGCACCGAGTCTGCGTTACGCGCCCCGTGGTTCACTTCGCGGTGTTGATCACAGTCACCGCACACTGCCGGAGAGAGTTTTTAATTTTCCAATTTGCGCATCATCACCATCATCACCACCACCACCAAGCAAATTTTGTTCACGTTTAAAACAAAGGTGAATAGTAAACAATACATAAATACGCAATGCCATTTCAGAATAATTTACAGCCCTTTGTCAATCCACTGCTGGATGATGGTGTTCTGACACCGTGCGGGAAGTTGGGGAATTATATGACCATACTTCACCATTCTTGTCAGTGCAGGATGGGGAAAGGGTGAGAAGCACCAGGACCGGTTCAGATAGCACTCGCCACTTAATTCCGATGTAACATTCTGTATATATTTTTATATATATATATAATAATTCCTTGCAACCACCACAACAACAAAACATCCTCAACGCATTCGTCAATAACACTGTGGCCGTGAGAGGGAAAATATCTAATTGGCAACGTTTTAGGCAACGGCCCTTCTTCAGAGCACTTACATAGAGATGCCAGTGAGACAGAGTGGGCGATGAGAGTTGCATTGCACTTTTCGATTTAAAGCTTTCGTGACTGCAGGGATTCATTTTCTTGGTTCTTTCGGTAAAGTCACGTAGAAGGGAAATAATAAAGTAATAAAAATAAAACATTATAAAATAATATAAAAAAATAATATAATAATATATTTTTTTATGTTTGTATTATTATTTTATTATTTTCCTTCTACGTGACTTTACCGAAAGAACCAAGAAGATGCATTGCACTTGTTTGCAGCATGTGGGCCTGACGAGTATTAAAGATATTATTTTTTCTAAACGTCTGCTGATGAACACTTTGTTTTATAGCCAGTGAGTAGCTGACAAACATTTCAAGAATCCCAAACATGTGTTACTTCAAAATAAACAACATTTTTAAATAAATATTTTTTAAATAATGCCGGCGCGTTTTTTTTTTGGGTTTGACTAAATTTTCCAGTGAGATGCATTCCATCCGCAATGCATCACGCGTCGTCTGGGGGAAGAAGTGGACTCCACACTCAGCTACCACTCCAGGATGCTTCTTTTGACCACCATACCAAAAGGAAACTCCGAAAAAAAAGTCCTCGCTTAATGCGCACTGTTCACACTGGAGCGCGCGTTTTCGCTACGACTTGGCTGCTTCCATTCGGAAAGATTGTTCACGCAACGTGGAACGCGCACCCCGCTATAGCTTGGAACGTGCCTGTTACAACGCGCTTTCTGAACGGTCGGCGACGAACTACTTTCTTGAGCTGCGCGGCTGAGCAGTGCATGGATACAGAACGCGGAATGATACAGCAACGCGCCGGAGTACCCAAATAAAATCTGTCCCGCCATCTCACTGCGCGGTGTGTGTAGTACATCGTATCTTGCCAGGCTTTATCGTTACGTTATTTATGGGGACATCTACCGCGTTAAACGAGGACTTACTTTGCAGATGAATGGCGAGCTCAATTAAGATGAATGAGGCCCAAAGACCGAAGCTATTTTTTTTTTAAATTACAACTTACCAACCTGCCAAGC